TGTATCAAGTTAGGTGATGACTACATTAAAATTTTTTAACTATCTAAGATTTGTACGATTAAAAATAAATTTTTCATACGAAAGTCTCGAAACTTAATTGTTCCACAATATATATATATGTATATGTATATGTATATAATATACGAGTACATGGTACTATACATTTTGTAACATTTTCTATTTGAAGCGTCTATTTCTGTAGAGAAACATACATGTTACTTTTTTCAATCCTATCTCCGGACAATGTCTTTTCTTTATATTCTCACCCACTCTCTTTTTCCGAAGATATTATATAGCATTTATAGACATCTATAATGGCAATTACATTCAATGCCTCGATAATTCTTGATGTGTGTTGGGAGGATCAAAGTAATTCACATTTGAATACGTTGAATATAGATTAATTTCTAAAGCATAGTAAAAACTTGCATTTTATCTATTGCACTGAGTGTTATCCGTTTCTTCATATAGAAATATTACATGCTGATCCAGATCGCAATGCTGAAAAAAAGACAGTCGGAGAACGCTCGATTTTTAATTCCTTGTGCTTGTACATACACACACATATACATACAAAATCTTTATTTTTCAAAGATTATAATTCAAAGAAGTTTCATATTTTTTATTTCTGATATATATATTTGCATCAATCTCTAGTTGAAAAAAAAAACTGGATAGTAAAATTTAAATTGATAAATATTAAATAATGTGTTGTTCGCAAATAAATCTCTCTCTTTTCTCTAAAAAATAATCTCTTTTTATAATTAATATGAAAATCGAGGCAATCTTCCTTCAGTTACTCTTTCTTTTAATATATCATTTATTTTCATATTACATTATTTTCACATTATATTTACATGTCACATCTGAGTTATTAGAACACAATCACAATCACTTTGTACAAATGATATCATTTCGTAAAACAGAAAATAATTTACAGTTCAACATTGCACTCATGTCCGTTTGGTGCATCGTTATCTCTCTGTATTATATGTTCACTGCATGCCGTCAAAATGTATATTTTCACAATTCGCTATCATTAATTTTTGTCACATATTATCAGTATCGTGTCGTTCTCGATTTTCGTAGAATAATAATGTTTCTTAAGGTGAGGGTGAGGGTAGGAGTGACGAATTAATTTTACGAATGTGATTTTCCGCACGTAATTCAAGGAATAAACTCAATTTTCTAATGCTCCCGCGAAAATGGAAACACATTTTAGATATAAATATCGCGTAATTTTTAATCATATAAATATAAAACCTAATATGAGTCACGCGCGCGCGATTTTCAATCTGAGCGGGGGAAAATCAGAATAAGATGAGAATGGAAGAAATACTTTGCTATTGATCGTCGTTCTTTACGTATAAAACAATCATCGAAATAAGCCATTGTTTCATCACTGACTGACCGATTGTGTCTCTCTGTATCTGTTCATCCTTAGTGGACTTGGACCAGCGTGTCGGCCGGTACCGTCTTCTATCGGATGGAGGGATGATAGATCTTTTGTGAGCCCATCGCCAATCACTCCTAATCATCCTTCGACTTCATTGACATTTAATAAGTTTCCAGACACACACATACAAATACATGCATATATATATATATATATATATATATATATATATATATATATATATATATATACAAAAACATTGTGCAGCGCGCTGCACGAAACATTCATCATTGCGTCGAAAGAACTATGTATGTTCTACGCGTTCAAGTTTACGGTTTAAACTTTTGTACTTGAGTTAATATCTTATTTACGCTACGAGAAAGAAGAAGCCAATGTGATTTTTTTCTATATAAACAAAAAAAATAAAAAAAAGATATAGAAACTAATCGCTTTCTTGCCATTACGATCCACCGTGATGATCCATGTTGATGATGATTTTACATAATTTACACACGTGAACAGAAAAATGTAGAGATTAAGTTTGCGAGTGATTGTGAATGAATGTTATGGGAGATGAAGAAGAAAAAAAGAGGGAGAAAAAGTAAGAGAGAAAGTGAGTTTGAAAGATGAATGATTGAGATGAAAGTATTCATTATCCATAAGACTTTAATCAAAATTAATGTATATTCACAGGTTTACTAACACTATTTATATTATGCACACTTTACTTGAACTCTTTCGTTTTCCTCTATAATGATTATATTTAAGTGGATATCGTGTTCAGCTCACTCAATTCTGCATGGCACATTACTTTTTTTCACTCACATGACAATTGGGCACATAGATAATTTTTGTTGTATTCGATCAAGTGTCACAAACGTTTCGATTTATGTTCGATATTCTTGAATAAAAAAAAAAAACCATTGAAAGATATCGTCATAAAATTACGAAATGTTAGCATATAAGAATAGCGAGATATTTTATATATTTATTATATATTTGTTTCATGATACGGAGTCACAATAACTTCTAAATATGTATAAATATTATACACAAATTTTTAGTAAATGTTATTCAAATTAATTGACGACATATTTATTAAAAATCTATATATATATATATTCTCTCATTAATTCCAATTAATTAATTTTTCACGGTAATGTATCTTTTTTCTGAATAATTTAAATATAAGTTTCTGTCAAAAATGATGGACTAAATTGACGTATGTATAGTTTATAAAAAGATTTAATCCAACGATATTTCGTAATACTGATTCGATATACCGAAAATTGTCTATGCGTATATGCAGAAGTTTAATAAATTGTCAATATTTCTATAAATGCAGTTTTATATATACATATATAGCTGAAATGTACATTTTACGTCATGAGTGAGCTTATAAATTCTATAATAAAATTGAGTTCGTGACGGACGCATATCTGTAATGCAATTTATCTGCAATGAGAAAAGTTTACCTGAATTTCTTCGACAATTCAAAGAATATTTTACATGATGCTGTCCTATATTGTATACTACTTATCGAATTAAGCGAGGTAGAAAATTTCCAAGCGTTTAATATTTTATAAAACAATGCAGGAGTATGAAATTATGACACTTTACTTTTTCTGTTTGCAAACCTGTGATTTATAGTAATTTTTTTTTTTAATTAAAAAAAGGAAAAAAACGTATACAGCCAAACTTCAAAACGCGACGACAAATATAGAAACATTATGTCTGTTAGGTAGAAGAAACAATCGAAAACAAATGAACGGTCCATATAAATATATATGGCGTAGCGGAAGTGCATATTTATATGAACTATATATAGGCCGCAAAATAAAAAAAAAAGAAAATAATGCTGTAAAAAACGAATATTTTCATAAGAATAAATATCGTAAGTCAATAATAATAACGTTTAGAGAGAATATTGTATGAAACAACCGCCATCGATTTCTTCGTTGAAAGAACCGATTCTCATCGTATCCTTGCGAGTCTCTCTCACGGTTCGTACACTGGCAACAATTTGCAGGGGATTTTTTATGCTGATATAAATCAATATTGACTGGCGATACGAGTTTAAGAAATCGAGACGCTTTTCTTCGATTTTTATTAAATTACAGGATGTTTCAGATTCATTGCATTTCTTTTTAGATCCTTCGAACTTGGATTCGAAAATTTTTGTCAATAAAGATGTCATAAACATTATAATTAGCGATTAAATGTCAAATTAAGTAAATAGTCAAATTAATAGATTGCATTATTAAATTAAAAAAGAAAACAAATTATTAAGTCAAATTTTTTAAAAATTGATTGTGGAACTGATTCAAAAATTAATTTGTCATGATTCTTTATATTTTTTATATTAATAATTATATATATATACAGTATTTTGTTTAAATTTATATTGAAAAAGAACAATTCTAAGTTCGTCAAGAGAGGATCTTGCAGTTAAAAGGAATTGCGATATTTTCAAGACATCCTAATACACACATTTAATATTTCAAAATAATTGCAGATATAATTTTGTACAAAAAGACACATTATTATATAGATTTTGGAGGTGCTCTCGATTCTTAAATTTTTCATCTCTCGTTGTGGGATATCTTTTCGACATAAACTTACAACACGAACCGTGTGTGAAAATGTACAAAAAAATATTTACTCTTACCATTTAATATTTAGCACTATTTCAGCATACGAAATGCTTAAAAAATATGTAGATACTTCGCGCGCGCAATGATCTCCATCGTCATGGTCCTTTTGCAAAGTAAAAAGTTTATACGTGTTTATATCGACTCGACACATCCTGAACTTTTTTTTCTATTACCATCTTTACCCGTTGCGTTGTCATGTGTTGCATTAATAAAGCATTCTAATAACATGTATAGTTTGGAGTACATACGTTCTACAAGAATCATATTTCAGAAAGAATATCACTGCACCTATCTTTGCGAATGCTGACTTCAATAAACTTCAGATAATGAAAACTATGGGAGAGATGGATATATATATATATATATATATAGTGTCTCTCTTTTATATATAATTATCTGTCCACAGATATGTGTGCGCGCGCGCACACACACATATACAGTTCTTCGCAATTTATGTTCGCAAGTTATTAATCTCTGAGAAGTAGATCGTTCGCCCGCGAACGTAATCGATAAACGCTCGACAAAATGGTAGACTTTTTCGATTAATAAAATGTATAAATAAATATCATTATGCGATGAGATTCCGAAGAAGATGTCAAGGAAGACGGATATTTCGATTACTTTACTATATATGCTTGTGTACCCAGCGATTATTATTTAAGTGGATCTAAAGAGCGAACTCGTGATAAGCGAGGGAAATACCGAATTTTTCCTTGATGATCTATATGCATATGTCAGCTGTGAGATAAAAGTTGCATGAGAATTTTATTTTTTAATAGTGGGCGATTTAAAGCCGATTTTGAACAGTATGCATTTTCAGAAAGTGCACCTATCTTTGCGAATGCTGACTTCAATAAACTTCAGATAATGAAAACTATGGGAGAGATGGATATATATATATATATATATATATAGTGTCTCTCTTTTATATATAATTATCTGTCCACAGATATGTGTGCGCGCGCGCACACACACATATACAGTTCTTCGCAATTTATGTTCGCAAGTTATTAATCTCTGAGAAGTAGATCGTTCGCCCGCGAACGTAATCGATAAACGCTCGACAAAATGGTAGACTTTTTCGATTAATAAAATGTATAAATAAATATCATTATGCGATGAGATTCCGAAGAAGATGTCAAGGAAGACGGATATTTCGATTACTTTACTATATATGCTTGTGTACCCAGCGATTATTATTTAAGTGGATCTAAAGAGCGAACTCGTGATAAGCGAGGGAAATACCGAATTTTTCCTTGATGATCTATATGCATATGTCAGCTGTGAGATAAAAGTTGCATGAGAATTTTATTTTTTAATAGTGGGCGATTTAAAGCCGATTTTGAACAGTATGCATATGAATTTTATACGGAATCGCGCTGATAACGATTGGTTGCTATTATTCCTATCCTTACGCGTAAAACTTTACAATATCATAGTTGGTCCTCGACCTAAATTAAGACGCTTATTTCGGGTGGTCCAGAAAAAGAGCGATATAATAGAATGTATTTTTGAGAAAATTTAAAGCTATTTTTTGCTAAAAAATAAATTTGTTTGGAAAAAAACTTTTTATCGCAATTTGTAATATATTAAAACAATTGTTTAATTAAAATTTATCAAGATAAATTTTGCATTTTATTAATTAAAAAATAAAATCACATTATCTAAGTTTTCAATTTGTCAGGCTCTAATTTTCTTCAGTAACGTGTATAATTTAAAAATATTATACATAAAAATATGTATATCGTAAATATTCTTAATATTATTTATGTCCCACATCATTTACTCTTTGTAAAGCATAACTTTTCGCTTGTTTACATTCGAATAAAAACGACAACTTTTCACTGAGAATTTATTCATTTTCTTTTTTTTTTTTTAATCCCGGACTTTCTGGATCATCTCGTATAAGACTTCATGAACGCGACGGACAAAACTCTTCTTGTACATTTCGTTACACGAACGCGTCTACCAGACCGTTTTACATTTACGCGATAATCGTATTTTTGTACTTTCTCCTTATTGTTAAATTGGATACAGATATGTATACCATATCTCTCGATGCGTGTGTATATATATATATATTTATATATAAAAGATCTCATATTATATTACATACGGATATTAATTAACGTTCACGCGCGAATTATCTGCCATTTCTCATTTAGAACAAAACGATATTGATTAGAGATCGATTTAGAGTGGGCGGAGCAATTTGATAATAATTTACTTCGCCGATTTTTTATATCGCACTTGTCGATGTAAGATTTTGTCATAAAATTGTGAATATATATATA